AATAGTGTGCATTTTAAACGTAGTGTATTCAAATAATATTACGAGTATAATGTAATTATTCAAAAGCTGCAGATATGTAATCGCTTAAAGCATGTATGTGTCAGGGCGGATTGGCGAATTTTTCGGCCCGGAAATATGGGTCAACCGGCCTGAACCGCAAATTAAACCCCACAAAAATGGTCATAATTTTCTCAAATTTCAAAATTTGTATAGTTCACCCCTAAGCAATACGTAACTGAACGAAGTATTACCATGCGTGTTAGGTATCAAAGCTTTTACATGAATTTATTTTAAACTAATTTTTCCTATGAAATTTCAAGGGGGTATAAAGTTAAACTGAAAAATTATATGACTTTCAGATAACAAATTTAAAAATCCTTTAACTATTATCAATTTGCAGTACTATTTCTGCAAAAAATCAAGTATACGTCTTAGCTAAAAAAAAAAATACATTTTTTTGTCAACTTAAATATAATTTTATAGCTAATAATAAATTTATTAAACTTGACTTATTTTATTATATTATATAAATGTATAATATGCAAATTGTATTATTAATATTTCATGTTTAAAGAAGAAATATGTGTGTGTAAAATTTTTAAAAACCTTTTGCACTATATAGTTTTATATATATACACAAGATATATATTTTACTCTACAATTAAAATAATAATATAATCCGTAGAATATAAATGGCATAACATTAAAAAGACAAATCGATTAAATAGTCATCAACGGTGTAATAGTACCAACTAAGAATTTATTTTAAAATGGGTGAAATACATGATTGGTGTTAGGATGTAATATGTATGTATGGAGGAAAAGTGAAGTTGTCTCCCATCATCCGTTGACTAGAGTTTAACATGGCGGTTTTCATTGAAAATCAAACCAGGATATTTTATTTTGTTTTTACCCAATCGTAGGATGAGACGATAATAAAAGCGAGGCCAATACAAAAGTCAGGTTTAGCATTACAACTTACAAGCACTCATCAATGTATAAACCGAAGACAGCGTTCTAATTATACGCATAAATTGATATAAAACCCATGGGTCATGATACAAATAATACAACAAACTTGTTTGCAAACAACTCTTATATTTATTCGCTAATACTAACTCAAGTTATAGTCCTAAATAATTGATAAGTATTTTAGTTATAATTACATTGTACAATCACGATATTATTATTAGAATTATTATTGAACCAACTACTTCGTACTGCAGTGTCCGACACTTATGAAATTATGAGCATATTATATAATAATATTATACTCTACAATATCAATATACAAAGCACTCACTTATTATTAAATATGACAAAACGCCATGAAACATTCAATTAAAATGTAAATTTTAGTACTTTAACACTACAATTGGGTATAATAGCAGTGTGCGTTTATAGCGTATGTGTAAATATTATGTGTTTATAAGATAATTTCTAAACAACTACTAAACAACTAAAAAAAAAAAAAACAGTATTATTATAAATAAGTTCTCATATATATCATAATAAAATAATACTATATATTGAGGATATACGTAGATCTATTATTTTGTTTGATATTCAAACCCAATACTGTAAAGATTATAGTGTAAACTATACACTTACTAATTTTACCTGGACAAACATTAACTAAAATGACTATAAACAATCTGTATTGCTCTATATTAAATCGATTGAGCCGATGCCAATTGAGTGTTGTTAGTTACCTATATACACATTTTTAGCAGATGACGACAGATCAGGTTTTGGCATAAAACTGTATTTGAGTATCTATATGTTTTTGCAAATGAGATTAAGGCGTATCTGTTCAAGTTGAGAGGTTTAGGATACACAACAGTCGAATATTATTATTCAAATGTTCGTTTTCGTTATATTTTTATGTGAAGTGTAGTTCGAAAAAAAATTCTAGGATTATATGTTTAACATAATTTTTCAACCAAAACATTCAACCTTAACCTAAAACAGTTTATGCCAAAATCGTTCTACGTCAATTTATGTTCAATGTGTTTGTGCCAAAAATTCAAATCCGTTTTCTCCCATAAACAGATAGAATGTCATCTTAGTGGTTGCCTGATGTTGATGATTCGTAAAAAAAAAAAGGTTTACTTTGAAAAAAACAATTATTATTATGGGACCGGCATGAATCGGGGATATGATATTTTTATTTTCAATAAAATTGTAATGAAACAGTTACATTTTTTACAGGGAAAAGATCGCTAATAAGAAGTAAGTTATAATAATTCAATAGAAATTCCCTCTAATGGGCAATTCATAAAAATTTATACTAACTTAAATTATATAATCTATCAATACATAAAAAGTATCAAACCTAGACAGATAATATTATCGCTGTTTAAGCTGCTTAAATATAACAAATAAAAACTTATTTACAAAAGGTTCATTGAAAAACCATCAATAATTAATAAAAACAATTCATATTTTATTATAAGGAGAACATAGAATAAATTCAAATAAAGATAAGATATTTATGCAGCTGTTTATCAATTATTACCGTCTATGTAAACTATTGACTTGGTATTAAAAATAACATAAAAATTTTAAATAAAAATGTGAGCCAATCAGTAATAAAAGTACGTAAAATAGGCTATATTATATAATTGTGTAAAAAGAAAAAAAAATGAAAAAATATGCCATATTTATAATAATTTGATTGATAATACATGTATATTGTATAGTATAATAAATAATAATATATATTATTTACATTATATTATATAAACAATATACATATTATTATGTATAAGTATAATCTGTAACCAATAGTAACCATTTATGTATACAAAATTATTCGATTTCCATTTGTTAAAATTAGTCGTTTTATGATACTCGCAATATTTACAGTAAATCTAATTTCAGAGCCTGAGTTGAAGAATAAATATTTTTTTATTTTGTAAAAATAAAATATTATATAATATAGTATGAGTTAGTAAATTAATAGAAAAATTAATTCTCAAGCATATATAAAGCCAATTGATAACATTTTAGACAATAGCCAACATGGTTTCAGGGCAAGTAGGTCCATCCCTATCATGTAACTTGACTTTGAAAAACTTTATATTAGACTTAAGAATAGTTGCTAAGTTGATATAATTTACACAGATTTTAAGAAGGTCTTCGACCATGTTTATCATAAATTACTAATTATTACTCTATGTCAATTAGGTTTCAATGATCTCCTATTGTTCTGGATTAACATTAATAGATTTCAATTTACTTAAGTTCTTGGATTCTCATCCAATTTATATCAATTCTATCAGGGGCCTCTAAAGGCAGTAATTTATCAGTTATCATCTATCTAATTTATTTCATTCAATAACTGTATCTCCATGTTTAATAAAAATGCCAATTCTTATTTTTTGCAGATGATCTAAAAATTTATTCATACATTTCTTCAATTAACAACTATTCAACTCTTCAAGAGGAATTAAATGTCTTATCTAATTGGTACTAAGCTTAGAGTATAAGCTTAAATATTGATGAATGCCATTCAATGTGCTATTACAGATCCTATAAGCATATACAGTTTACCTATTGTATAAACAATACTAAACTTAATCCATTGTCATGCATTAAAGACCAAAGTATAACTCTAACCCACAATTCAAATTTTCAGGAATACATAGAAATATAGAATATATGGTAAAAAAATTTCAGCATATATTAGGCTCTGTTAAGCACCACGCATATGATTGTAACTACTTAATCATTTAAATTATTCTACTGCACTTAAATTAGATTATAGATATTATTAAAAGTGTTCAAAACCAATTTTTTTATATTTAAAGCTTTCAAATTCAACACAGTTATTAATCAATATGACTTCATTAAACCTATTTATAATTAGTCTATATCTATATTATATATTTTTAATCTATCTAATTACCTATTAGGTTTATATTCTTAAAAATATTGAATACTTTTATAAATATTATTATTTTATTGTTATTATATAATTTAATACCTGTACAATTAGGCAATTGCCTGTTTATTCAATTTAAATAAATGATTATTATTATTAAATATTTTTAATACAATAAATAAGAACATACCTTGTCTGAATCTGTAGTGTTGCCTGATCCAAAAGAAGCCAATGATCCACGGTCCAAGTTTTCTTCTTCTAAATCTCTAAATGATAAATTTTAACAATTGATTATAGTAATTTTTAAAATAATAATGTAAGATAATAAAAACACAAACCGGCTAGATCGTTGACTGTCAGGTTTAAGTTTAGCTGGACTCTTGGGCATATACATACGCAAAGCAGAGTTGAAGTATGTTTCTTGAATTACTTCTCTGAGTTTTTTCACCCATGTTTGTTTTGCTTCTAATGTGGATGCTTTTAACACAATACGGTAATCCGAAATTGGTGCACGGCCAGTCCATACAGCAAATTTGCATTCATCTCCTTCTATGTGCTCAGTTACACCTAGTTCTGAAGTCTAAAATAAATTTGATATAAAATATTAAAATTGATATAAAATCAAACAAATTAACAATAAAATTACCATGAGTTTGTTTTTGTATAAGTATTTAACTTTAGGATTATTTGAGTGATCTTTTACATGTTTGGCAAATACTAAATACAGCTCAAATAAAAAACAATGTCTTTCGCGACTTTTACGCAATAGGTGATGCCTTGAGTCAGATACGTACAATGTATCTTGCACAACAACATCACCAAGTTCATCAGTAGAAATATCACATCCTTCTAATAAGGACAAATGCAAAGCATCGTTGGCTTTTCTTGGAACACTCAACATAACATCTAAGCCATCTTTAATTTCTCCTTGGCCTTCTTTGCAACAAGATTGGAGATCTTTTAATAGCAATTGGTACTTTGTGATTCTTTGTACTGGTTTTATTAAATAAGCAGCAATTGGATGATCAATGTTATGTTTTTTTTGAAGCTCTTCAAAAACACCACCACATGAACCCGAATGTTGTACTAGTATAGCATTAGACTCTGGTTTATTTTTACAATATTTCACATACATATCAAATTTTTGTGCCCAGGTGACAAAACAATGCCCCACGTCTTCAGGCATTGTCTCATATTTTTCCAGTTCTTTGATAAAAACATCTCTATGAAAATTGCGTATGTCTTCAATGTTACCAAATAAAATATCAATTCGTCCATGAAGTCCAATTGGTACATTTTGAAGAGCACGTATTTCATCTAAATAGGCTTTGATGCAAACATCTAAATCTTTCACATACGTTCTTTCAGTTTGGAGAAGTTCCGCCATAATGAATCTTAATAAACAAAAAATAATATAATTTAATAAGATTTTTCTTAAAGTACACAAAAAAAAAAAATCAAAATAATAAATATTTTTTTCAACTTACTCTTTTCTTCTAGCTGATCTCCTTTTTTCTTCATTTAATTCTTTCAAATCTTTAGTTGATTCTTTTACTTTTTGCTCTAAATTTGGATCTGAGTTTCTATCAAAGGAAAGATCACGAGTATCAACATGCTCTTGAATGCCTAAACTCTTTTCCAATTCAAACCTAAAAATATAAAATTATAGTTACATTTTAACTTTTAAAGCTTTTAGTTATTAACTTAAATACCTATATTTATCCATTCTAGAACTAAAATGTTTATAGGTATTGTCAACTGCTGCTACCCATTGCTTTATGGCGTTGGCATGAGCATGGCCTTTTTCAACTAAATTATCTGCCAACTGTATTAACAATTTAACTTTTTCACGTGTCTCTTTCGCTGATGTTTTAAACTCGTTGTGTTCATGAAGTAAATGTCTTGTTTCATCCTAAAAGTAAATAAAATAAAAATAATTATAATTGACTTGATTATTTATTTGACATTTACAAACCTGGGTAGCACCAACAGTAGTATGAGTATTTAGATACTGTTCACCAGCATTATGTATCCATTCCATAGCTTGCTTAGCTGACTTATCAAATAATACAAACTGTTGACACTGATCAAGTCGTTTTTTTCTTTGTGACCAATGGTCCAGTACTTTGTTTTCCTGACCTGATAATTTTTCGAGAATGTTTTTAACTCGAGCTTCAGAAGCTGTATCCACAGTAGCCATAGACTGATTAGTACAGCTATAATACTGCAAGCTACGATTAGTATATTTCAAAAATGTCTCAGCTGTTCGCCTAGCCAATGTACATGCTTTCAAGAAAGCTTCTTTTTGTTCTTGATGTTTAGTACAAAGTTGCCCTAATTTATCGGCTTCAATAGTTCCACCGCCACACCAATCTTCCTCACGGCGATATTCTCGTTCAAGACTATCCATGACAGAACATACCTAATAGAAAAAAATTACAATTTATATTTAAAATAAATGTGCATACTAAAAAGTTTTAAATTAACATAGTACAATATGATGATTGAAAAATATATTTACTTGTTCTGCAGTCTTATAAAAGTTCAGACTAGCAGTAACTAATTTGTGCCGTTCTTCAGCACATGTAACCAACTGTTGCCATCGTTTAGTGACCTCTATAGCCATTTCTTTTACTGTAGTTGAGTCATAATGATTAGAAGCTACAAGGGATTCAGCCAATTGTTTTACTTGAACAGCAGCTGAATGAGTTTTCTAAAAGAAAATAAATTTTAGAAAAAGATCAAAAGTACTTTTTAAGAACATAATTACTTCAATTGCAACTTGAAATTGTTCATGTTCTTTTTTTAGAATTTCTGCATCTACTAAACAGTTTGGAATAGTGAAATTTGCCGAAAGCATTGATTCACCGTTACGAATCCAACTTATTACCTGTAAATGAATACAAATAAAAATTTAACACATATTATCCTATGTATAAATATAAAACCTAATTTCCAATAAAAATTTATGTTTACTTGTGATGCATCATTATTAAATTGACACAATTGAACAGCTTGATCGAGTCGACTACGTTTGATTTCAGATAATTCTACCAAATCCATATGGCGTTCGTGCAAAAACTCAAGTAACACTTGCACTCTAGTTTGAGCAGTATATTGACTATCAGCCATTACACCAACTCCAGATTTATCCAACACCTAATTTAAAAAATACACACAGCACATTATTAAAAATATTTAAAAATCAACACTTCAATGATAGTGATTATTTATTAATATTTAATTTATCTTTTAATTATTATCTAATATTCGTAAGAAATTACTTGAGCCAATTGTTCGCCTTGTTCCAGTGCTTGATAAACAGCTGCCTGCATTTGTGCCACCGAATCATTGTGACGAGATAACCGTGACTCTGCTTCTGATAATGTTGTTATAACTTCATTTTGATTTCGTTCTAATTCATTTGCCCAAAGTTCTAACTGTGAGGACACCTAATTGACAATAATAAAAACAAAAATATTCATTAAAAAATAATACTTAGGTGCTAATTAAATTTTGTATTTTTAATGAACACAAGAATAACTAAGATAACAATAAACCCGAGAATAAGCATTTTGTTGTCATAACAAAGTATTGCCAGTGTGTCCTAACTATAGCACTAAGAGTCTAAGAATAGAACTGGCTTAAGACCATAATGTTATCAAAAAAATGTTATTCCCTTGGTACCTGTTATTTTACTACAAAATGCAGTAATAAAATATGTGCACAAACAATTGTTAAATTACAAGTCCTAATAGTGTTGTTAACTTCAACTTTAATTACACGTAACAATAAATTCAGAACAATATTGCGTAAAAAATTATTTTAAAAAATATCGAGAAATAAAATTAACCTTGATTAATGCCTTTTGCCTTTAATGATAAAAAAATTAATTAATTATTTACCTTGATTGTTAAAAACGATTTATAAAATAGACAATTATCATGTCAAACTTTTTTTTTAACAATTAACGATACAATACGTCAGATTATTTTTCAATAACTTACTTCAAGTGCATCTCTTTCAAAAATCCGTAGTCTTAGACATAAATCCAATTTTAATTTTCGAGTTGTCCATAGTTGTTCCAACTCTAAACGTTGTTTATTTAATCGCTCGAGTGCGGCATCTACCGCAGCAACTGATCCAGTGGGGTCCATTTCAGCAGTAACGCCTCCACTTCTACAGAAAAAAAATCAGTTTTTACAACAATAATTTAAATATTTTTTTTTAATTACGAACTCATATTCTAAAAATTCTTTTTTTATAGCTTTGTGGTTATTTCTTGCCCAAGTAATTTTAGATTTCACCATAGTACTATTGGTTAGGGTGAATGATTTTTTTTTTTTAAACATTTTTATTTTAAATTGAAAACAAACAAAAATAGTAAAAATGTTATGAAACGTTCACGTATAATTAATTATCATTATTAGAACAAAATAATAGCCGTACGATGTGTAATAGATTATAAACGCAAAATTATAATAACAAAAGTAAAATAATGCATGAATAGAACTCTTTAGATTTAAGACATAAAAAAATATAAGATAAGAAAACGCATACGATAAAGAACAGGCGCCAATGCAATGATTTTAACCAATCGCAAACAAATTATCAGTTCAGCAAATTTGATTAATTTATTTCGCTATTTTTAAACATTTGTTTTAGTGAGTTATTTAAATTGATTCAACATATTACATATATAAACTAATTGAGTAAGATGCATGGCGTGCATACCTGCTCGATAGTATTATAAATTTATAAGTTGAAGCAAAAACTTTTAAAATATTAATTCTTAGTTAAATTATCAATAACAATTTTATTGAAGACTGGTTTTAATAAATATAAACCAATCTGAATTAAATCTTGAAAACATTAATTCTTTTAGTATTCGTAAAAATAATACTTAAAGATATCTTCAGCTATTGCAAGATTAGGCAAAAAATTACTTTAAAAACCTGGGAACTCACTTAGCTGTATAGTAGAACTCTAATGTATCTCGATATTTAATGGCTCAATGTAATAGACATATTAAATTTTTATTGAATGATTAATTATTGTGTACAGAAAAACATTTATTAAATAATTTGTATGCCTAAGTGCTATTACTGGATGGTTTCTTTGACAAATAAACATGACTTTTTATTATTCTATTCAGCACTTATTCTTATTCTACCATTAATGTATAGATTTTATGATTAAAATACATACACATATACATTAAATACCTAATACATATATCTAATAATTGTGAATTGTATATTTTTCTAACAGTAGATTGAACTAATTTTTACCAAAAACAAATCACATATATTAAATGATAAAAATAATAATATTTATTTACCTATTAAATATTTACACGATATGCTATTGTTATTGACTTTTATATGTTAATATAATGTACCTACTACATATACGAGTAATAGAGCGAAGTAAAGCAAAAAGTTTAAAGACCCTACAATTAACATTTTTTTGAATAAGAATATTATAACTAAAACCATCATTTTTCATTTAAATACCTAATTTCGTCTATATTAAAGTTGTCACGTCCTCATAAATAATTATTAAAACAATTTAAAATTATCCAAAATACGTAATTATAATATTGTTTTTAAGCGTTTCAAGTTCTTATATTAATACGAAATTGGATACTAAAATGAAAAATAACATCATTTCTATAACTTTTATTGATAATAATAACAATAATATAAAATGTTGATATAATTTTATAATAAATGTTATATTTAGGGGAATTATAATTGAACTTGGCTAACTCGAAGTTGAAGGGTCCGGAAAAAAGTTCGAGTTATCCAAGAATTCGAGTAATCCAAATTAAAAATTTTTAAAGCAGTACAAAATAAATTAATTCCTATGTATTTATTATAAATAAAGAAATATAATAAAAAATATTTACTTATAATTATATATGAATTATGTATATGTAATTTTAAAAAGTAATGTATTTATAAACAAAAATGAGTTAAGAAAATTATTTAAAAAAGGTATTTATTTTTGATTGAGTTTTGCTGTTGATTGCAGCATTTGAAGTGAATCGTTTTAAACCATTTATCGGTAACGATAACACTAATGAGTAATGACCTTATTTTCGATATTAAAATAAATACATAGGTACAATATCACAATTTTATAATATTAATAAAAATCAAGACTTCAAGTTATCCACGAAAATATTCGAGTTAAACAAGATCTTTTTATATTGTTTAAATAGGAAATTCTAGGGACCGGAGAAAAAGTTCGAGGTATCGACGATTTCGAGTTAAAGAGGTTCGAGATAACCAAGTTTGACAGTATAATAATTTTTAACAATTGAATTCAAATTTAACACATCCATTACACAGTTAACGAATCAATTATAAAATAAACTCAAAACTTACAATATAATAAAAAAAATTTAGACATTTATAAGCTCATAATTTTAAAATGTCAATTTATATCATTTTTAATGTCATAATCTGAAAATAATAACTACTTTTATTAATTTCTTGATGTATAAAATAAATTGATAATATTGAACAAATATTTAATTGTAATATTTATTACGTTATATTTATTCTTTAGTTTTAAATACCTATCGATTTTGGATAAAAATAAGAAGTATCAATCAACTCAGCACATGCCGATACTTTATTATACTAATTATATAATACTATGCGAAAAATATTACAAAAAATACTACATATATAACAATATTATTATTATTATCTAACATTCACAACTACCCCCACATTATCACGTCTCACAACATTATCGTTAGATTACCTCAGTTCTTGTAGCAACGCCTCCCCTTCACTTATTGTCGAATGACAAGCGTCTAAACAAGAATCCCGTTGATGGCTGACTTGTTCTAGAGCTCTCTCGGTTCCTTCCAAAGTGTCTGCTGCCTCGTCACACCCATCGGTTTCGGCTCTGAGTTCATCAAGCCAGCCTTGGAGCTATAATAAACAGTACTTAATGTACACTTCATGTCGATCGATTTAAGATATATATAATATATTACTATATTATGTAGTATCATAGATTATAAATAGTATTTATAATCAATGGTAGTACACAATTATTATATAATGTGAATGAGACTAATCAACAATGAACACCAATTTTATAAAATATTGAAGTTCAGTATACTTTACATAATTTTTGAGAAAACAACAAAAGTACCTACTAAAAAAAAAAAAAATTCTAAATTTTTATTTTATTAATCTTACCTCAGACTGATGCGTATAAAAATTCACAGCTCTCTGCAAACGCCGTCTTCGAGCTTGAACACGCGCCGCAAAAGCGGCTACATGGCTTTCAAGTTCGGCGGCCACCGAACAAATGTCAGAAGCATCACATTCGCCGGTTTGAGACAGTTCTTCCGCAGCTGTCAGCAATTTCTCAGCATTAGTATATGTGTTCTGAAAATTAAAATACGTGTTAAAGGTATTATATTATATCATTTATTAAATATTTAAACAATTTTTTCTTATTTATATAATCATATTTATATCATCATTAATCACAATTAATGTGGTCATAGTTATATATTATACATTATATAACAGAGTATTAATTAATACTTAGTATATATGAGGTACCTACAGCAGTATATGCCATAATGCCATACAATGCTCAATCGCTATAAATAAAATACGTGAAGAGAACATTTTGTACTCTTTTTTAACAAAAAAAAAATAAAAATTTCAAATGTCTATCTGAATTATTACAAAAAGTTTATAATTTTAAAATTTTAATATATGTAGAACTACATATTAACATAAACATTCTGTAAAAATTTTAAATATTTAAAGTTATTTGTTTTTAAGTTACACATAAAAAATATGATTTTGTTAAAAACTAGTTTTTTGTAAAAATTCTTATGTTTCTTTAATTATTTATTTGTTTTTCAAATTATTTTGAATTTTTAAATTTACTTAAAAATAAAAACTAAATTCAATTTTCTTTACAAAACCAGTCTTAAAGTTAGAAATTGAAGCATTTTGTATGTATACATACACAAAAAAAAAACACACCATTGTAAAATTAATACATTTTTTGTTCCACTAAAAATCTAAAATAAGTCTAAAAACGCAATCATAATAATTACTAGCAAACAGGTACTTTTAAACAAATTTAGGTTTATAGGTTTTAAATATTAAGAGCTATATATTACATTGACCGTACAACGATTAATATTATAATAATCACCTTGCATAATGAATATGATGTATTTATTATAGTACTAGTTGGCCTAAAAACTAAAAACATAGATAATTTAAAATAATAAGTATTATTTTTTATTACTATAATTTTCTATATAAGCGGACATTTTAAAATTATGGAAGAACTGAATTTATTAAAAAAAATATATACCTACCTATTATACTAAAAGTGTCTTAATAAGCACTATACAGAATATACAAGAATAATAGGACGAAGATGTTTATTCATACACAAATTAAATATTATTCTTAATATACTACGCATATACATAATATAAGAATGGTAAAATATACGCCAAACGCAATTTTCACATTGTATGTTAACCTTCTCAATAATTAGTGGACTTGGTATACTTAGTAGAATACGTCATTAACATAATATATAAATTCACCAAAAAGAAGAAAATAGCATAAGTACACAATATAAATATTTTAATTTGCGACTAAATACCGTAATATTACATGATAATTTCGTTATTATTATGTGTACATGGTATACATCAAATATAATATTTAGTTAGGAACATCGTCGTCGCCAACTGTCGGTACCTATATATGTCTACTCCTATATAAGGATCTCGGCCTTCAACGTCCATCATCGTTTTTTTTTTTTTTTTGCTTTCTCTTGATTTAATAGTGAATTTCAAGTTATATTGAAAAAGACTATTCGCAACTGTAATCAAGATTTAATACTATAAATATCGTAAATACAATAATAGTATACATCAAAAACGATCCTTGTCACATTCCACTTCAGACATTTTTGTTCGTAAAATCGTAATATATATAGATAATATTGCACTGCTATACTAACTTCTCGTATACGATAATGTAGTATTATGTCTTATAATATATTGAAAAAGAAAAACGCTTAATACTTCAAAACATAATGGTTCACTTAGGTACTTCGTGGTTCGACTCCTACACATGCATATACATATATAAGCGTTGACATTATGCAAATTGTCATTAAATCGTATGTAATATTATACTATTTATAATCAATAAATTAATAATAATAAATATATAAATAATAAATAATATGTGTGTGTGTGTGTGTGTGTGTGTGTATTTATATATAAGACACGTATATATGTATTTTGAGTAGGTTAAAAAAATGTTGTTATTAATATATGTTTTAAGTAAAAGTTAAAAAAAAAAATACAATTCAATTTTCTTTCAACAAAAGAAAAATAAACCTAAAATCTTATAAAATAACAACAAAGACAACAATTATTTTACAAACAAATATACTAAAAATATACCAAAACAAATATTAATACAATGAATTGGATTAATAATTTACTTATATTAACTAAATTAGGATGCATAATACACAATGAAAAGAGATAACAGTTTTTCAATAGGTTAATTAGCTGAATAATTAGAGGTGCATTGAGAACCGTAGAAAGAAACGGAATGTCAAGAAGTACGTTGAGGGATCTTAAAGTCAATTAAATTAAGAAAAAGCGGTGAATCCACTTTCCCAGATAATAATCTATTTAAGAATTTAAGCCATTTTGCAAGAATTTCAATGTTAAGTGCATTAAAAATAAGACTATAATTATACGGTAGATGTTTAATATGGAAAATAAAACCAATAAAACTCGGTAACTTCCGTTGGATAATTTAAATCTGACAAGTGACAAAAGTGGCCAGAAGTATACGGAACCCAAAAAACAGCACTGTAAACTAAAATCGGACGTAGGATAGCATAGTATTAAGTTTTTAAAGATAAATCAAGCTTAAAATCCTGAGCTAGTAATTTTATAAATTCCAGCACTTTGTAAGCTTTACAGCATATTATATCAAAATAGGCCCTGGAGTGAAGCAAATATTAAATTTGAAACCAAATTCAACAACAGTCTCAACATCCAAGATAGTTGAGTCAAATAGTTCATAAAAAACATTTTAAAGTAGAACGCTTCTTTATGAATAACATAACACAATATTTTCCAAAGTCAAGCCTATTGACTGAGATCACTCAATAAAATTATTAAAGTCACTTTTTAATGAACGACAGATGTCAAAATAATTGATTTACATAAAAACTTAATATCATCAGCGAAACAGAGCAATTTTCTATGATTCAAAACTTTACACGCACTGTTAGTAACCTTTCTGTAGAATACTAGGAGACAAGAAAATATCTGAACTATAGGTACCACAAACACTTTGACTCTAAAATATCTATAATTGATAAATTATTTAAACCATGATAAAAGAGGCTCATCAAAAAATTTAAAATATAGAATTGTATAAAAATGAATTTAGAATTTTAAATATTAAACAGACTAGCAGATTTTGAAATTGAAGTAACAGGCTTAGCTTAAAAATAATTTGAAAAATACCTTCTTCCGGTGATCCCCTAAAAAGAATAAAAAAAGGAAACGTGATAATCGATTTTATTTGATACAAAAATTCATTATAAATCACATCAAGGCCTACTGTTCAATTACCTTTTAGCAAAGATAATCCTTTGAAAACATCATCTAAGAAAAAATATGCATTATTGGGTAAGTTAAAATTAAGGATATCAATTTTTTATTACATTTTAAATTAAAAGTTGAAAACTAACACTGTGCAATAAATTAAAACCGAATAAACATGAACTGTTTAAAACAACTGACACACATTTAATTTATAACATGTTAAGTTTAATTATTTATACATATTTGAGATAAAGCATACAAAAAAGTATGATACGTAAACCCAAATATTTAAATTTAAACATTTGACTATTCTTCTTTAAAATTAAATAAATTTGACAAGGTCTAAATAAGCAAGTCTTGATAAAAATATAAATACATAATATAATTGTTAAATTAGAAACTTAATACTTTTTATTAAAATATAATTGAATTGGTTTTTTAAAGATATAATATTTATAAAAATGTATAATAAAACTAGCTGGCCCTCACGCAATTAAAAAATCAGGCAACTAAATAACTTTTACTATTCATATAACGATGTAATTCAATTTTACTAGAAAATATTAATCTACTATAACGTTTATAACTAACAGCAAGCGACTACTAACTATCGTCAACAATGTCGTCACTATAATTACCGAATACGTGATACATATATATTATATACATAAATGATTTCAATGAATATCGTTAAATTAATTTCCTAAAATACACTAATTATTAATTTCTATGAAAACTTCAGTTTTTAATAATTGATTCAATAATAATTTCACGTCTGGGTGTCTGATACACAACATTTAATCATTTTTTACAAGATGCAATACAAAATTGATTTTAATTTTATAAAAATAAAAATGTAAAAACAATATCAATATTAGAATTCATAGGAAATAATTATAATGCAAATGTTCGTGTACTCAAAATCAACGTGAACATGACAAAACAAAATAATCAAAATCAGTTAATCATTATTCAACTTTAATTGCAATCCTTTAAGAAAAATAGTGAATTTGAAACACACCGAACTTTAAACAAATTTATTTGCAGTGGAAATAGTCTCAAAATAATTTTGAAGCAACTGTATATGTCAACAAACAAATTAAAAAAAAATCGATTTATCTAAATTGCTTATTGTATATAAATTATTTATATATTGATTTTGTACTTGCTTAGAATTTAATTTGTATACCGTTTAACTTGATATACCGAGTATAACGTTTACTTTATAATAAAACGGATCGATTACCAATAACTCAAATAAGCGTTTTATTATATTACATTCAACAAACGTTCCGTAAACAATGAAACAAATTATTAAATGCTATTTAATGCTCACGCCGAACGCATTTTAATTGAATTAATCTAGGCTATACGCCTTGTACTCGATTTACTGCGGAAATTACGAATCTAATATTAACATTAATTTGAAGATGTTTGTTAAAAATAATGTCCTGTAAATTGTCTACGAATTCTAGTTTTGTGTTTATCATGAAAATAACACGCTAATATTTTTTTAATTTTTTTTTTTTTTTTGTAATCATACTTAAGTAAGATATTTAAAATAAATATATAATATCAATTGCATTATACATGATTTGTTGAAAAAATATAACCAACAGTTATTAACTATATAGTAATCACAATAATTAAATATTTAACTTTTACATTTAAAATTAAATTTAAGAGAAGACTGATATTCATTCATAAAAAAAAAAAAAACGAAATACAAAACATGACGTAATCCGTGGTGTATGATAAAATGTT